TATGTTTAATAAAAAGCACATTTAAAAAAAAAAGTTGACTAAAGAAGACACAATGCAAAAAACAAGAACAGGCTCAGATAAACCAAACAACAGAACTGATGTCACTCGCTCTAATGTTCTTCAGTTTAACGCCACAGACAGAACTTCCTCCATCTTTTTCACCCTCTTGCCGTGACGTCTCTGATCTAACTCCACTTTTCTAACTTTTAGAGATTTAAAATTTAAAACGCACCTGGTTTTTCTTCTGACTCCACAGTGTGTCGAGCATGTCCGTCTCCCACGTCAAGGCTAACCCGTGACACCAACACTAAACATTTAAAAAAAAATTTTAAGTAATATTGACGCGTTTGTAGAAGTCCCACATTTTACTGCAGTTTATTCAACTCTGACTGAACTTTAGTTCTTAAGTGTAGAAATCAAACCTGTGTATTTACCTCTCACTTATTTCACAGCTTCATTAAGAGGATTATTCCGTGTTTCTTTTTAAGAAGCTGAAACAACAGACTGAGGTTTAGAGTCACAGACGGATGTACTTTTAGTTAAAGGAGACGTGTTCTGCTGTAAAACAAGATCTAATGTTCCGATCTGCTCAGGACAGACTTGTCTCACCAGTATAATGAGAAGAGACATAAAACACAACGCTTCAGCTTTTTACAAAGACAGTGAAAGAATTGAAGAAAATACAAAATGCACAGTGAGACAGTTTCAGAAGGACAGGACAGCTCCCAGTTTTCATTTGGACAGAAACACATTAAGATTTAAATGATAAGACATTGACTCCGTTTGTCAACAAATTGCTATAAAAGACATTATTTCAAACACGTTCTGTGAAAAAGTGCGTGATGTGGGACTTCTGCAGCCGCTGTCACTGTTGGTACTCTGCCTCAACACGGTTCACTCCTAATCCAGGCTACGTAACGATCCCCGGGGAGCCCACCGACGTGCATGCCTCAGAGATTTTCAAATCGTACGTCGTGCTGAGCTGGAAACCTCCCAGCCCCCGTGGACGGGCGCCGCTGTGGTACGTCATCGAGAAGGTGTGTGTGTCGCTTCACCCGTGTGGTCGTCCAAGTTCAATGATTGTTACGTAGGAGAACGCACTGAAACTGAAACTGCATCGTTGGGGCTCCGATAATAATAATAATAATAATGAATCATGTGAACATCAGCATCAAGAAACTGCTTCTGATTCTAATTCCTTTAATTTAGATTATTTACAGTTAAACATTTAACGGTCGAGTGTGAAGGACTGAGGAGAATCTGTCTGCGTGACATGAACAAGATGGACGACACCACTGCTCCTAAAAGTGAAGCCAAACTGTCTTTATCGCCCCCTGGTGGCTGGCTGCACCCCGACTCTTCCGTGTTAGCATTTGGGACACGGGTCAAATAAAAAAAAAATCCGAGTAGACGTCAGATAAATGTTTGTTCATGTTTCGGATCGGTTTGATTTGAATTAGTTATTTAACGGCTGACACGTCATGATTGACAGTTGAGACTGAGTCCTGAGTGGTTGAGTCGATTGGCACAAGATGGCAGCTTCATGTCTTGGCTTCACTTCTGGACAGTGGGAGGAAGAGACACGTCTTTGTTTGGAGCGGGTGGTTTACATCTTTACATTTCCTGAAGGCCACTGTAGATTCTCCAATAGAAGGAGGGTAGATATTCACGTGGCTGCTATATGTAACCTCACCACTAGAGGGTGCTAAATCCTCCACACTGAACCTCTAAGATGTTGTGAGGTAACTTTAACTTTTGTCCTTCAAGCTCAGATTAGAAGAATTCATTCAAAACATACCGAGCCCCAACGATGCAAAAAAGTAATTCATCCTAAAACCTCATCTTGTTGTTGTTGCTACGTTGGAGAGGTTGGTTGCACCTTCTCACTTCCCTCCATCCCCCGACTCTCCCACAGTGCATAGCAGGCACTGGGGCGTGGCAGCGGATCAACTCGTCAGTCAAACTACACTCCCCTCGTTACCCGGTTTTTGATTTGCAAGACGGGCAAAAGTACCAGTTCCGAGTGTATTCGGTCAACATGCACGGCAGCAGCGAGGCGTCGGCGCCCTCAGAGCCCGTCCAGAAGGTTGATCAGGACGGTAAGGGACGGGATCGGAGACATTCAGACAGTACAAGAGCTGCATGAGTAAAGATATCAAATATTCCTCTGTCAATTCTGCTCCACATCCCCAATACAAAGCTTTCTTTAATATATGAATAAAGAGGAAGAAAATGGGGTTGGACTCACATTTTAAACGAAAGGACAGAAGTGTCTTCATCAAACTAACTGGACTTTTCATCACATGTTAAAATAAACTTTTATATAATATATCTGTCTTCCAACTGTGAAAAAGTAAATCCACATTTATTTAAAAATATATAGTGGAGCAGGAAATCTGGATGATTTTCATCAACACATTTAATTTAAATTCATCATCGCACACAGAGTCTTTGAATTTCTCCAAACACCCTGAGAGTTTCATCTTATTCTTTTGAAATGCAACGAGCTCGAAGTTGATCCCTGTTTAAAGTGAGTCACTGTTTTCCACAGGAACTGAGCTGCCGGTCGGTATGTACAGTTTAATGCTGAATGTTATTTTAGTCACAAATTAGTTCACTCTTCCACTTTGTGTGTTTTCTAACCGGATCACACTGGTTTATGTATATATATATATATAAATATATATGTATCTTGGTATATTAGTATATGTACACAGTGCTTTGTGTCACTGCCTTTGAGCTACAGTGTTTTTAACTATTATTTGAATATATTACATTTTGAACTCATTGAAATCATCAGAATAATTCCAGACATCTTCCTTCATTAGTTCTTTGTTGTAGTTTAAAGGTCCAGTGTCGTCCCCTCGTGTCCCTCTGTGAACTGTTTTACTGAATTAAACGTGTAAAACGTGTGAAAACACTTTAACACTTTTTCAAATCTGAGTCACTCCACCCGTGGTGTTAAACCAACAAATCACTTTGTGTCTGTTCACAATGACGACTCCCTGAAGGTTTCACCGAAAACACCACGAGGACGGTTCGGCCTTTGTTCACTGCACGTTTCACGTCTTGCAGCTTCGCTCAGTTCAGTGTGAGCTCATATGAAATATGAAATGCAGAAGTAGAACTGGTGATGATGAGTGATGGCTCCTTCCCCTCTGTGGACAGGCGTCCCCTCTGCTCCTGGTCAGGTCGTTGCCACCAGGAACACCAAGTCGTCTGTGTTTGTTCAGTGGGATTCTCCCAAACACATGAAAAGCCTCATGGGATATTACATCGACGGCCGCGTTGTCGGATCCAAGGAGTGGTTCCCGTGTAACCACAAACCCTTCAAGCGCAACAGGTACGAGTCCAGAGGGTCCAGTGTCTGTCCCAGGGAGGACGAGTCTCAGGTTAACATGGAAATATGTCTTCACAGTCATATGTCTGTAATTCAAACGAACATGTGTCTCAGGTTCGTGGTCCACGGCCTGATCCCGGGTGAGACCTACGTGTTCCGTGCCCAAGCCGCCAACATGTTCGGCCTCAGTGAAGAGTCTCAGGAGTCTTCGCCCATCGCCGTGGAGCCGGCGCTCGGTCAGTGGGTCACAGAGAGTTTGACATGACATCTTTAGAAATAAAGAGCTGATACGAAACGTGATTCATTTGAAGTAACTTGTGTTATTTGACATGTAATCACTCTCAGGCAGGGGGGTGGATTATGGTATGTATTAGATCACTTTGTGGATTGTGTCCGACCTGCTTGAATCCACCTCCTCCACGTTCCACTGTGTGTTTTATTCACAGAGTTCACGTCACACGTTTTGTTATTTTCATTAATCAAACACAGACGTGTTGTCTAATTAAAATACACGCTGGACTCTTTAATTAACGACGTCTGATGTGATGTCACTGTGCGTTCACTTCTGAAAGTCACACGTCCAGTGTTAAAACAAAATGGATGCCGTAAACAACATGTGTTGTGTTCATGTAAACTTTTTTCACTTCAAAGTGAAGTTTACATTAGAATCTTTTATTTAGATTTTATTGTACAATTTGCTTAATTGGTTTATAATTGATGACGTCAGCAAATCCCCGACGTCCCATGTGAGTGTGAATCTGTGTGTAAACTCTCCAGCGACTCCCAGCGCTCCCTTCGGCATCACCATGCTGAGCTGCGACGGCGCCTCCATGACCGTGGCCTGGAAGAGTCCCAAGCACTGCGGCGGCTCCAAGGTCAACGCTTACTACATCGACCAGCGGAACGCCGACACTCTGGCCTGGAAGGAGGTCAACCTGGTGGCCGTCACCGAGAGAGTCTGCACTGTGAGAGGCTTCAGACACAAAACCAGCTGTGGAGCTCCTCGTTCAGATGCTGGGCGATTGAATCCACAACATCTCACCTCTCTTCTCTGAATCTTCAGGTCGACGGTCTGACCGAGGGAATCTTCTACGAGTTCAAGGTCCAGGCTGGAAACATGGCGGGCGTCGGTGTCCCATCAGCTCCCAGCGCCCCGATGAAATGTGAAGCTTGGACCATGGAGGAACCAGGTACGAGACACTCTCTCTTCTCTGGCTCCTACACTCATTGGTTTAGTTTAGTTTAGTTTAGTTTAGTTTAGTTTAGTTTAGTTTAGTTTAGTTTAGTTCAGTTCAGTTTAGTTTAGTTTAGTTTAGTTTAGTTTAGTTCAGTTCAGTTTAGTTTAGTTC